TCTGTTTGGTTTTTTCTAGGTTTTGTTTTTTTTTTCCTTAAGATACTTTTTTTGGGGGGTGGGCCACACCCCGCAGCATGTGGGATCTTAGTTCCCCAACCAGGGATCAAACCTGTGCCCCCCTGCATTGGAAGTGCGGAGTCTTAACCACTGGACCACCAGGGAAGTCCCTATTTTGGTGTATATTCTTTCAATATTTTTTCTATGCACAAATAATTTTAACAATAGTAGAAGCATACTGTTTATGCAGTCCATTAACTATAAACTTATAGTAAATTTTAAGAATAATATTATCATATTGCATAACAGAGAAAAGAGAAAAAAAAATACCTCACAATCCTACCACCCGCCTGACACTGTTGTTTTCCTGACCATTGCTTCATTACCCATATTCATACATGGTTGGAAACAGTAAGTACTTAATTTTCTGCTCTTTGTGCCCTTTGCAACTTGGCATCATATTTATGCAACTTTGTACCCTGTGTCTTTTTTTTACTTAATATTTTGTTGTGAACATTTTCCCATGAATAAAAGAGGTTTTGAAATCGGGATTTAAAAACAATGTTTTTTAGTATCAAGGTACCAAGGGCCACTCCTTCACCATGGACATTTAAACTGCTTTCCATTTTTCACTATTACAAAGAGTTCTGCTCCAAACATTCTTAAACAAAGACCTGTGCTTTTATGGGAGATCCCTGGTGGCCTAGTGGTTAGGATTCCAGCCTTTTACTGCTGTTGTCGGGGTTTGATCCCTGGTCGGGGTTTGAACTGAGATCCTGCAAGCCACGTAGCAATGTGTGCTTTTTAACTTTTCTACATACTTACTGTATATGTTTCTAGAGACCACTCTGTATGCATACGGGCTGTCCTATAAAAAGTCATGGTCTTTTTTTGCTCCCTAATTTACTCCCATCATAAGGCTCAGACAGCCCTTGGTTCTGGAAGGTGGGATTTTGAGAACAAACCTGCATTTTCCTCTTTCTCCCCTTCCTGAGTTTATAGACCTGCTTCATCCCCTCACAGCCTGGTTTTTAAATTAATCAGTCAGCAAGTATTATTGAAACTGAAGTGTGTAAGCTGAGGCAGGACTAAGAAGCAAAAGGAAAAGAATCAGAAGGCACAGCATTTGTGGACCACTTACTACACAGCAGGCATCAACCCAAGCTTTTCCTTTGATCCTTGCAACAAGCCCACGGAGTTGCTCCTATTATAATCCCCATTTAACAGATGGGAAAACTGAGGCCTGAAGAATGAAGCCATTTGGCTTAAGATCACAGAGCTAGTAAATGGCAGAGTAGGGATTTAAACCCAGGAAGACTGACCCCTGAACCTGTACTCTTGACCACAGTTTAGATGCCCCCTTACCCTCCCAGGCAGCAAGGTGCAGGGGTGAGGGTGAGGACTCTACAGTCAGCCTAACCTGGATTCAAACACCGGGCCTCCTGGCTGTGTGAACTTGAACAATCTCTGGGACTCCTTTTCACCTTTGGTAAACCCTACCTCACAAGGCGTGGGAATTAAGTGAGATGATGGTTGGGAACATGCCAGGTCCAATGCTGGAGCACAGAAGGTTCTTGCTGGGTGATCATCCCTGTCCTCTCCTTGGTTTGCGAGCTCGCAGTCTAGTTGCCAAGTTAGAGATAAGAGTTCAGCGGAGAGCTCTGAGCTCTGCTGGAACCGACTGGGAAGTCAGTGATCCAGGGCATATTTGCAGAGAAATGCAAATGTCTCCTTTGCTCTCTCCCTGCCTCTGAGACTAACCTCCCCTTCCATCTGCCCCCCAAAGGAAAAGCGTGGCTTTTGTGCTCCAAATCTGAGTGCTCGTAGCCCCTCTCTTTCCTGCTCCCAAGGAGGTGGACAGTGGAGATGACAGGAAGTTACCAGTAGGGAGACCCTTTCTGGCATGTGGGCAAAGAGAAATGTGGCGGAGGGCGCTCCTTTTTCTGCCCTTCAATGGTCCGGATGGGGGAGGGGGCTGGCTGTTGAGCAACTGCTCCGGAGACACTCCAGAAGCCGAGATGAACATATGCCTCTTTCTAACAATTGGCCGGGGAGCCATCCAATAGATGGAGGGCGGATCCACCACCTCCCGGATCCGGAGCCTTCCACAGAGACGCTGTCGCGGTTTCCAGACCCTCTCCCGAGCGGGAGCTGAGGGGAAGGGTAGGTCGGAGGTCCAAATTAGCAAAACACAATTCGAAAGCCCGGGGTCGCTCACGTCAGGCAAACACCAAGATGGCTTGAGGGTGTATTTCACAAGCAAACTTTGTAGGGTTTTAGGGTCCCGACAGATCCCGCCTTTTATCAGAAGGAAACTGGGCACGACCTACAATCTTTGTGCAAAGTGAGAAAGTGCAAGAATGGTGTGTGGGATGTGATTGTTCCTGGGGTTTGTGTTGAGGCAGGGTGAGGGGAAGGAAGGGAGACAGGCAAGATAGCTTTGGGGGCTGGGGAATGGGTTTACCTGGCGTCCAGAGCACTGGCCCCAGCTTCCTCCAGGCGTCAAGGAAGGGCCTTGATCTGTCCCTCTGTTTGCTCCTCATCTTTACGTCAGTAAGCTGGTCAGTCCATCAACAAACAGAACTTTGTTCAAAGAGCAAATGCAGGGCACTTTGGGGTACTAAAGAAAAAGAATAAGAAAGAAAAGAAGAGAAAAAGTGGGAAAGAAAGAAGAAAAGGAAAAGACCTTTAGGTCTTCAAATCCAATTAAGAAGACAGAACACATACACAGTGAAAATGACTTCATGACATTCCCTCCCCCCCTTTTTTCTTAACATGAGGACTTTTAAAAAAGAGCATGTTTTATAAACACTGTAAACTGAGTAGTTATTGCTGAAAGGGGCCAAGAAAAGAGAGTTTGGTAGAAGGGTAGTCCTGGTGGCCTTCCTGTAAGAGGCGAGATGGGAGCTTGTTGGCCAGGAGGAGCATGACTGAAATGAAGGAGAAGACCCGGGCCTCTTTTCCGAAGAGATTTGTAAGATAACATCCTAACCCAAGAAAGATGTGCTCCTAATGCAAAATGTTATTCTTATTACCTGGAATGATTATATAATGATAATAAAATAACCTGGCACACTGGGAACGCAGGAGGAGTCCCCGCGAGCCCCGGGGCAAGCTCTTCATACCCTGCTGCCTGCTCTTGGCCTTTGTGCCTCGTGAGCTGCACCTGGCCCCACGATCCGTGACATATCTCCCCGTCGCAACCCGCCAGCCTCCTTCAGCCCTGGATAACCACAAGAGAGAATCCCTTGAACCCAATCCCAGCTCAGGTCTTCGAGGGAAGCCACCGCTGCGGGACGGATAGGCCCTCCAAGAAGCTCTGCCTGGAATCTGGCGACTTTAAGGGGAAATGGACCCCCAGCCTCGGCCCTTCAACCAGGGAGATGGTGCAGCCCAAAGGGAGCAGACAGACTCCGAGAAAGCCCTGCAGAAAACCCAAATCGTGCCCCTTGGACCCCGTCCCTTGTTCGTCCTCCTCCCCCAGGTCATTTCCTGAGCCCATAGCTCTCCCCCCAACCCCCTGAAGCCCGCTCTGACCACCCTCTAGATTTAGGTCAGAAAACAGACACTAACAGCTCTCCCTCGCCTCAGCGAAATTACTAAGTGGAATTTATTGGGCAAGTCCATGCAGGGCGGTGGGGAGAGACTGTGCCTGGGGCCCGGGCCCCCGCCCGCTTTAGAAGCGCAGGCGTCGGCCGGGGGCTCGGGTCTCGGGGCGACCACGGCCTGGGCCCGCCAGCCGCACCCCGGG